GGCTCCACACTGGGCCTGGAGCCTGCTTAAGATTCTCTCTCTCCAGGTACCTGGGTGGCTCAGTTGGTTGGTTAAGTGTCTGCCTCCAGCTTACATCATGGTCCCAGAGTCCTGGGATCAAGCCCCGTGTCAGGCTCCCCACTGAGTGGGGAGTCTGCTTCTCCCTCTGCCCCTCCCCCCAACTCATACACTCATTCTCTCTCAAATAAATAAATAAATAAAATCTTAAAAAAAAAAAAGACTCTCCGTTTCCCTCTGCCCGCCCGTCCCGCCTGCACCCCCCCCCCCGACTTGCATGCTTTCTTTCTCACTCTCTCAAAAAAAAAAAAAAAAAAAAAAAGAACTGGCAGGTGAATAATGCCCCACTCAGGAGGACAGAAGAAACCGTTTTCACTACTGGGGCAGCTCAGCTTTCCCTTGTGTCGGTAACAGGGCTGGGGGACTATGGTCAGATGTCCTGAAGATATCCAGGCAAGTCCAACTAAAACCACATGGCCATCATGAGTCCCCGTAACTGAAAAAGCAATATTAGTATTTAATTTAATTTAGCACCTGGATTGAGACTAGGATTTCTGGATTTCGAGTGGTTTATCCACTGTCTTCCCTAGGAAGGTCTCCACTGCTGGCTTCTCATGAGGGGCCCCTTGTTCTCCAAGCCTGGGGCTCTTGGTCTTATCCTTCTAGCTGGAACCCCTAACTTGTTCTGTTCTGTGCTCTCTTCTCTGAACCTGTCCTGGGCCAAACCTAGGAGCAGGACCAGGGCCAGGGGGACATAAATGAGGGCCCTGTGATGCAACACTGAAGGAGGCCCTCACTCTCGGGGTTGGCAAGTGCTGATAACTGGGTCATTTGCATGTGACTAGAAGTCATCAGGAAAAAAAACCCCAAACAACTCCCAATATGAGGGAATATGTCTCCTGGCACCACAGTGCTCTTTTACTTTTGTTGTTTTGTTTCTTAACTCCATCCCAGCCCTCCTGTTTGGAGAACCAACCACCTTGACCCTCCAGCAGCGGGGCAGACTCCATGATGGATTCCTGGTATCGGGAGCCCGGAAGCGTGGGCCGGAGAAGGAAGAGGAAAGCCGGAGGAGGGCTGAAAGCTACCACCCGGGACAGGGGAGGAGGACAGATGCTGGAGAGGGTGGCCAGGGAAGAAGAGAGGACAGCGGGTCAGATGGGGGCAGCTGGTCATACAAGCCTGGTTAGAAGACGTTTTGTTATTTTTGCAGTGTATGTGTTGGATGGGGTGGGGGAGGGAAACTGTTCTTGAAGGATCAGTTCTGCTCTTTTTTTCAGGCTGCTCCTGCTATTTTGCTGGCCAGATGCTTCCAGCTGGAAGTATTTGGATCTAGACACCTAAAGTCTACTCCAACACTCAAGTGCCAGGAATAAGAAAGCAGGAAGGTGCACTGGTCACTATGCTCTATATTCACCCCTACACTGGATCCGGTCATTTAGGGGAAACTTGGTTGCCTTAGACAGCTGGGCTGGCGGGCTGGCTCCAGATGGCAGCCTGTGCGCCCTAAATGAGTGGGTGGGGCTGGGGCTGGGTGGGGTGGTGGCCTTTGCCAAAACATCAAGGACTTGAGACCTGAAAATGCAAACCAGTCGGGAGGTAACGTGCAGCCTGAGTAAGGGGAGCCCAAGGCCAAGTTACTGGTGTCACAGGAACTTGGAAAAAAAATGCCCAGATGGGTCCTTGGGCCCCCAGTGTGGCCAAGACTTGATTTTTCTTTCTTATGGAAATGAAGAGTTCTGGGTATTGTTCTTAGGTGAGGCCTGCCAATGTCTCTGAGCTGCTTTCTGAAAGATGGGCTGCTTAGCTGCTCTAAGGAGCCTACCCTCCCCCCACCCCCCACCATTAGAGCTAGGTTAAGGGAATCCAGTTTGCTTGATTTAAGGGTATTCAAATAGATGAGGAAAATACTTGTCTTTTTGTATGTTAAGGAGGCTAAAGGAAGCTGTCTCTGAATTTTATCGGCAACTCAGAAATTCTGTTCCGGGGAAAGTAGGAAGAGGGTCAGAACACCCCCTCCCTTTGCCAGAATGACGGTCTGATGTTCCTTACAGCGAGCCTGGGGAGAAAGGCCATTGAGGGTCACTATTCATCCCTAATCAATCCTGAATGAGCAATGGCAATGGCAACTCTGGGGGCGAGGCCAAGGGCTGGCAGCAATCCAGGGTCCGGGTGGCAGCTCCACAATGCCTTCGGGAACCAGACTGCCTCTGACTTTCTCCTCCACCACCCCTTAGCCTTTGTCCCCAGAGTTGCAGGATGGCTGCTTTACAATGGTTGTATGTCTGCACTTCACACACAAAGAAAAAGAAGAGCAAAAGGCAAAAGGCAAAGGCACATGCCAGTGAGGTCTGCTTCTTATTATTACTTTGGAAAATGTTTAATTGTGATAAAATATACACGCGATAAAATGTACCATCTTCATCATTTCTAAGTGCACAGTTCAGTAGCGTTCCGTACATTCAGACTGTTGTGCAGCCCGTCTCCAGAACTCTTTTCATCTCGCAAAACAAACTCCGTATCCGCTAAACAGCAACCCCTCCATCCCCTCCTCCTCCAGGCCCTGGCAACCACACTTCTCCTCTCTGTCACTAGGAATTTGACTACTTTGGGGACCTTATGTAAGTGGAATCATACAGTACTTGTCTTTTTGGGGACTGGCTCAGTTCACTTAGCATCGGGCCCTCAAGGTTCATCCACAGTGTAGCATGTGTCAGAATTTCCTTCCTTTTTAAGGCTGAATAATGTTCCATTATACGTATTACTACATTTTGTTTATCCGTTCATCTACTGATGGCCACTTGGGTTGTTTCTACTTTTTGGTCATTGTGAATAATGCCGCTATGGACGTGGGTATACAAATATTTCTTTGAGACCTTGCTTTCAGTCTCTTGGGTTTATACCCAGAAGTGGGGTTGTTGGGTCCCATAGTGATTCTATTTTTAATTTTGTTGAGGAACCACCATGCTGTCTTCCCTCGCATAAGCCTATTCCTTTAACAAGTTTTTCCCAAAGCCCCAACCAATGAGTTTCATTGGCCACAGTGGGTCACATGGCCACTTCTAGCTGCAAGGGAGCCTAGGAAATGATGTATTTTTGACTAGGCATAGAAAAACACTCTCTGCACTGCAGAGATTCCTGTATACGGGGATGGTCACTCCAGCTGTTTGTGTCAAGGCCAGGTGTCTGAGTCTCAGCCGAGCCTGTCCGGCAGACACTCTGTCTATTCCCTGCCCTAGCTGTTTACACTTTCAGGGGGATCAGCACCTTCTCAAGCCACTGCTTCCAGTAATGAGAGGCAATACTCTCTTCCTTCCCTCCTGACCTGATTCTTTCAAGCAATTACGATAAAAGTCTCCCCCGCCTGCTCCACACCAATATAAATTGTGCTGTGCTGTTCCTTCATTGTCCATCACGGCTGAGTCATACCTCTGCGGCCGGACTGTAAATCCTCTGGGACAGGACCTGGGTCGCCACTGCAGGGCACCTGGCACAGGATTGACTCTTGGTGGAGGGAAGGACAGTACATTCTTCTAGATTGGTTCTATGCCACCTCCAGGGTCCTGCTGCAGGGATCCTGGCTCTCTCAGCCTAAGGACACCTCTTCCTTGGATGTTTCTCCCCAGGTTGTGGGGCCTGGTGGGGGCTGCTCATCCTGAGATCTATGAGGTCAGGCCCAGGCTGGACAGACCCTGATAGGGCAGGAGGAGCAGTGTGGATTGGTTGGGGAGGCTCATGACCTCTGGGGACTCTGGGCCAGATGGCCGGGCCTTGAACCCCTGCTCTCTTCCCCCCTCCCTAGAAGCAGTTACATAGACATAGCTGCTATTAAACTGACATTCAGAAACACATACGCACATAGATTCAAATACGGAGCTGCTCACACACACACACACACACACACACACACACACACACGGCACAGAATTAAATTTGCATTCAGCACTTAAATTCAAGGGGGCAAATCCTGTTTCTCCACTTAATAGTTTATCCTCTAGTAAGTTATTAATCTGTTTGTGTCTCAATTTTTTCATTTGTCAGAATGAGGATAATAATGGTATTCCCCTCACTGAGTTGTGAATATTAAATGAGAGCTTACAAGTGGTTACAACAGCTTACAGAGATGCATATGCATTCATTCTATTTCCTGAGCCCCCTCCCCTTTCTCTGCTGCCACTTGGTGGTGGGCCTGGCAAAAGCACGAGGTTAGAGTCCTTTCATCCAGCCTCACTCAGGTTTCTCACCTGTAAAACGGGGATCACATTATCTATCTGTTGTGAGGATCTAAAGAGGCCCAGCAGGGAAAGCTCCGAGTCTAGACCCTGGCCCCAGAAGCCTTGCTACACTTTAGCTGTTCCTGTCCCTAACTGATGAAGAACAGGTCAGAGAGCAGGTGCAGAGACAGGATGTGCGAAGGCAAGCCCCTGACCCCCCATCTCCTCCCAGGCTGGAGCTGGGGCCTCTAAGGACAGAGCCCAGGCACGGGGATCAGAGCTGCTCCCCCTGTTGGAGCCTGGCCTGGGGCTGGGGGCAGGGCTGGTCGGGTGGCCGTGGGTGGGAGGAAAAGAGGAAAACCAGCTCAGTGGAAATTACCCTGCGGTTGGCTCAGGCGCCCACGACACTGTATTTATAGAGAGCTCCCTGCACTCTTAATTCCTCGCAGTCGAGTTAACCCTTTCCAGGCCGCGGTACCAGCCCGGGGCGGAGGGAGAACACAGGACTGGGGTCGGCCCACGGGATCCGGCTCTGCGGCCAGCCGCCTGGAGGGTGGGGTGGTCAGCGGGCAGTCACCTGTCCCCTCTCGGAGAAAATACACGTCGGAACTCGGGAGTGGCGGAACGCGGCGGGGGAGGGGCACGGGCAGACCAGCGCCCCCTGGCCGGCGTCCAGGATCGGGTCTGGGGTCAGGGGCGGGGTCCGAGCCGATGCCCTGCCCAGCGGGCGGGCTCAGGCCTCTGCGCCCGACCGCCGCCGCGGGGCCAATCCGGCCTCGGGCGCACCCGGGCTGCCTTTCCGGGCCCGCGGCTTCCTCCAGCCCGCCCCGCCCCTCGGCCTCGCGGGGCCGCCCCCGACCCCCACTCGGGCCCGGCCTCGCGGCGGCGGCGACTCGGCAGCGCTCCGCCGCGTCCCCGCGTCCCCGCGTCCCCAGAGCCGGCCGCGGCGCGGTGAGTGCTTGCGTGGCGCGGGCCCGCGCGGGTGGGGGCGGCCTTTGTCCGCGGCCGAGCGGTGCGGGGCCGCCGGACCGCGTGCTGTGCCCTCCCTCCCAGGACCCTCCCCGGGTCCGCGACGCAGCCCGGCTCCGGGCCCCAGGCAGCCGGGGCCGCCACAATCCAACCCCGCCCCAAGCTTGCCGCCGAGGGGGCTGGGGCACAGTGGGACCTGCTCTCCCCCGGCAGGTCCTGGAGGAGGCTGGTGGGTGCTTGTGATTACCCGGGCCCGGGGCGTGCAGGGGCATGGGGGGCCAGATCTGTCACTGTGTTGATGATTCTGGAAAGCTCAACGAAGCCAGCCGGGGTTAGCAGGGAAGCAGGGTCTCCCAGGCCCTCCAGAGGGCCCTGCAGAGGAAAACACCCTGAGTCCCAGCTCCGCGGAGGGAGAGCTGCCCGGGACGGTTGGGGAAGCGGGCCCGCTCTTCTTGGCCCTGAAGGACCGAGTAGAGAGGACTTACGCGGGCAGCAGTGGGCGGGAGGGGGACAGATTCTGAAAAGAACAGGTAGGGACGGCTGACCTGGGTGAAGGGGTGAATAGGTGTTGGGGGTGGGAGGCGAACAGGAGGGAGCAGGATGGGGTAATTTGAGCTCGGGGAAGTCTCCAAGAGATGGTGGGGGAGGTAGGACGGAGAGGAGGTGGGGAACTTGGTGTCCCGAAGGTGGGGACCCAGGGTGGGGACACCCTATAGGGGAGGGAGTTGAATCTCAGTGCCCCGAGGCCCTGAGAATGCTGTTTAGCGAGGGAGTTGGCAGGTTTGGTGGCCGAAGGCCCCGAACTGCCAGAAAAGGGGATTTATTTCTAAGCCAGACCTGCCCTAATGAGAAATGCGTGACAGATGACTCAGATATGGATGGGTCTATCACCGAGGGAAAACGTTAGGCAAAGAGTAACGTAGAAACGATTGGGGGAATAGGGGAAGTGTTTGTTTGACCTAATTGAGAAAAACTATTTGCCTTCAACTTGGATGTGGATAATTGTAAATGAGTCAGTTTCATCATTAAATTAAGGCCTGGGTCCTTTTCTTACATGCATGTCTTTAGCAGTTGGCTTCTGTATTAGAAAGTAATGAAGCTGTTCTGTCTTTAAGAGAGTTCTTCATTTAGTGCGGCCTCCTCTCATTCCCTCTGGCCTCCCAGAAATCCCTAGGAAATCTGATGCTGTGCAGCCTTCCTTGCAGTTTGGGGGCCTGCACGTAGGTGGGACGCTTTTGGAGACTGAGGGAAATTGAAGTCTAAACTTGAAATTGAAGCTGAAACTTGTCTGATGGGTTGGGCCCATCTGAGTGGTGGGGAGGGGTGGAGGAGGGCTCTGGGGCTGCAGGGTGTGAGTGATGGCTCATATTTCCAGCTCATTTGGGAATGGGAATATCTGGGGTGAGTACATTTCCCTGATATCTAGAGTTCCTGAGCTTTAGCACTAACACTGATTTTAACTATCGAGCCTGGAAATCTTTCTCTCCCATATTACGTACATCATAGTCTGACGTCAGGATACTCCTGACATCAGTGAAATTTTTTGTCAGTTTTTGTCAAATTTTGACTTCGAGTCAGTGCTATGTGTCAGATTTTGCAATAAGGGGCTGTAGGGCGAGGGGACTCTTGTGGGAGTGGGCTTTGCACTAAGTGGCTTCAGCCATGCTTTTATTGATCCCTTGACTGCTGTTTGGAGTTCTTCCCTCTCTTCAATGACATCACTGGTGGTTTCTCCTGCTTGCCTTCAGTGAGCTTTCCAATTTACTCCAGACTCCCCTGCTGCAAGAAATCAGACCATCCGGCTTGTTAGAGGTGAGAAGCGGGTGTTAATGCAAGCCTGAGGGCGGGAAGGGGTGCTGGGATTTGTGGACCTCTTTTTCCTTACTGTCCCTGGCCTTCTGCAGCTCTGACCAGTCACCCAATGGAAGCAGATCGGCTGACTGTCTGAGATGCTCAGATGCCTTGACAGCCAGGTTGGGTGCTTGAACATTTGTGGAAAGGCCATTTATAGAGGCGTCGTCCCTTCTGAGGAGGCTGTGTCCTTAACTCTGGTGAGGTTGACTTCTGAGCCTTCCTGGGGGAATTCCTCCATCCTTAATCTGTAGTCGTGTCTTGTCTGGAACCATAAATCTTCATTTTTTGGAGCAGGATTTGGCCTTGACCGTGAGCTAAGCAATACAGCTTGGGGTCAGATTGTCAGGATGACCATAGAGCTGTGAGTTGGGATTCCACAGCACCTAAGGACACTCCTAGAAAGTGTTGTAGAACAAGTCTCTGGCCTGCTGCTGGCTGGTTCTTGGTTGGATGTGTGGGGTTTGAGTGTGAAGAAAAATGATCCAAATCCAAACAGCCTCCCAGATTATGACCACATGGGGCCTGAGGCTGTGGACTTGAGTCATGGGGTCATGGGGAGGAGGAAGAAGGGCAGGCAGGATGATGTCACTGCCCATGAGCTTATCCTCTGAGTGGGTGGCCACTTCTCATTGCTGTCCTCTTTCCGCACCCCAGGGCAGGAGTGCCAGGGAGGTCCACTAGCAGAAGGGGAAGGCATAGCCTGAGCCTGCGGGAAGTAGGAGGGTGGGAACTGGTTGATGTGATCCATGAGAAATTTCCTTTGGTCTCAGATGCATGAAACATCTGGGACAGGGCCTCGTGTGTTTTTCTGCACCCCCTGGCTGCCACACCCCAGTTTTGCCACCCCTGCAGTATGAGGTTCCAGCTAGGAACATTGAGTTTCCAGGTTTTGGGGGTGGGGTTGTGCCGGATGCTTCACAGACATTTAATCATGTCAGTCCTCCGAAGTGGAGTGTCATTAGCTCCATGGTATAGAGGGGGAAGCCAGAGCCCAGAAAGGGGAAGTCATGTGCCCAAAGACACATGCAGAGGCATGTGCTGGAGCTGGGATGCTGTCTGTCTTTCTGTCATTCTGGAGGCAGGCATGGGCTTCACCCCTCGTTCTGGAGTCTGGCAAGACGGGCCCCGCAGCAAGGCAGGGAGAACTCATCTGGAGAGCTGGGGAGAGGGCAGGCCTGACCTAGGTATCCCAGTCCAAGCCATCCGTGGGAGTGCTTGCTTTTCCAGAGCCCTGGTCTTCAGCATATGGGTGCCTCCGGAGTCCCTCCTTGACCCTCCAGGTCTGAGCCGTGCTCCCAGCCTGTTGCCCCCACTCTCCCTCTCATTCTCTTTGTGGTCCAGAGAATGGATGCCTCCTCCACACCCCTAATTCCTTTGGGTATTTGGCCTTCTTGAGGCATGCAGAGAGTATGTCACAGGGAAACCTGCTAGGAGTGGGGAATGAGAAGCATTTTTTCCAGAGCCCTGGAGTAGGAAAAGATAGTATCTCTGAGAAGCAGGGCTCCCAAGTCACCCTAAAGTCAACGTGGGCTCCCAGGAACCGGGGCTTCCCCGGGGAGATACTGGAATGTGTGCTGGGGGGGTGTATAGCCCGACAGAGGAGCTCTTGGCTGGGGGGGTGACACTCAGTGCAGGGGCGCCCAGGAGGCCTTGTCCCCATGACTACGGCAATAATAACTGCAGGAATAATTGTTACCGCTGTTTGTGGGTGCTAAGTGCTTTCCCAAGTCCTTTCTGCATATGGTCTTATTCTCATGGCAACCCTTATGGGGTAGGGGTTGTTACTGCGTTTTAGAGGTGGGGAATCAAGTCTCAAAGAGGTTAAGTCATTTATACTTGGTCATGTGTCTAGCAAAACTTTTGAGTCAGAATTTGAACCCAGGGCTGCCTGCTCCTGAACCTAAGCTATACCCCCGGGGCAGGCAAGGTGGCTTAATGATTCCATTTAAGAACACAAAAGGCCCAAACTGACTCAGATTATCAGGAAAAGGGAAGGTCAAGGGGGGTGGGGGGGCTATTCCCAGCTGTCCTATAATCATTCTAGGAGCGTAATTTATAGTCCCTATTTTATAAATGAGCAAACTGAGGGTCAGAGAAGATGTTTTCCCAAAGTCTCATGACTAGGAAGTAGCAGAGTCTGGATTTGAAACTGTATCTCCTACACCAAAGTCATCTCCTTAAACACCAGGGCTCGCTTCTTTCATGAAGCCTCTTGTGATAACACCAGCACAGGATGGTTGTGGGACCTTCCTTTGAGAGCTGAGGAGCCAAAGACCCAGAGAGGTTTGCCCTAGGGAACCTAGCAAGTGAGGGATGGAGCCTGGTCTGAAATCTATAAAAGTCTCCCAAGTTGCTGTTTTCCTTTTTGTTAATTGCAAAGGAATTACATGCTCTTTGTCAAAGTCACAGAAGTGTATCAACTAAGAAGTAGGAGTAGATGCTTGCCCTCATTCCCACATCCTGGGGTTGGGTTCACTATCCAGAGGAGAAGAAAACTGTGTAATGAATAACAGGGACTCCCCTGGAGTGGCCCATCTCTGCCTGGCTTTTCTGCCAAGGTGACTTTCAGGATAAAGAGGTATTCCCCATGTCATCCAGGAAGAAGGAACTGGGTTTGCAAAAACCCATGAGAAGAGGATCCCCTTTTGTAGGACCTAGAAGAGGTCCCTGTGGGGATGGGCAAATAGGAGGAAGTGAGGCTGGGGAGGTGGGCAAGGCCAGAGCAGGTAGGGGTCTTTGGGCCATGGAGGAGCTGATTAAAAATTGGAAGTGATGGCCTGATGCAGTTTAGGTTTTTATAGCAGTTATTCTGGTTGCTGTGTAGAGTCAAGGCTGGGGTATAGAACCCGGTGGGTTGACGAGAGGGCAAGTAGAGAGACCAGTGAAGAAGCTTTTGTGGTCAGCCAGGCAAGATGATGAGGACTTGGCAGGGCGGAGAGAGCAGCACAAGTGGAGAGAAACAAAGGGTGAAGCTGTATCAGGCGTCGGCAAACTTTTTCTGCAAAGGGCCAGAAAGTAAATATTTCAGGCTTTGCGCCGATTGCAAGGGCTCGGTTCTGCCATCGTCTGCAAAAGCAGTCGCAGAAAATACGGAAAGGAAATGTGGCTACGTTCCAACGAAACTTTATTTACAGACACTGAGATTTGAATTTCATGCAATTCCTGTGTCTCATGAAATATTCTTCTTTTGATTTCCAACCGTTTAAAAAAGTAAACCCTTTCTTAACTGGTGCGCTGAACAAAAGCGGGCAGCAGGCTGGATTTGGGGCTCGGGCTATAGTTTGCCGAGCCCGAAGATATATTTTGGGGTCAGGAATGGTTGTTCTTGGTGTGATGCATTGTAGAGGCGAGAGAAACTCGGGTTTCTGGCTTGAGTGGAGGGTAGAGAGCAGTGCCCTTCCCGAGCGGGAAGAGCGAGGGAGGAACAGGTTTGAGGGGAGATCAAGAGTTTGAAGAGGGCCATGTTAAGAGGGAGATGCCTATGAGTCACTGGCAAAGAGATCTTTAGGGGACAGTTGGAGCTCAGATGAGAGGTGTGGGCTTGGGGAAGAAAATCTAGGAGTTGCCAGCATATAAACGATATTTAAAGCCATGGGAGTGGATGAAATCATCTAGGAAAAAATAGTAGAGAGACTTGAGGAGAAGGCTTGGGGGCCAACCCCAAGAGGTTCAGTGCTGGAGGAGGAAGGCTGTGCACTGGACTACAGGTGATGCTGAGATGGAGAGAGAGGTAGGGGACCAGACCTGGGGCCATGGGGCCATCTGTTAATACAGAAATGAGGTCATACAGTTGACAGTGTACTTGACTTACGTGACATATGGCATGGACTTATATCCACATTAGTACACGTTCTTTTAAAAAGCTGTATGCTATTCCATTACATAGAGGCGTCGTCATTAACATACCAGGTCCCTACTGGTTCCCATTTTTGCTGCTAGCTGGAAGTCTCGGAGACTGGAGCTAGTGTGTCCATAAACCCGTTCCTACAAACTACAGCCCATGGGCCAAACCTTCTGCCGCTTGTTTTTGTATAGCCCACAGCTAAGAATGGTTTTTACGCCTGTCATGGTTGAAAAAAAAATCATGCGATTCATGAAAATTACATGCAATTCAAATCTGAGTGTCCATAAATAAAGTTGTGGTTGGAACACGGCTCTGCTCATTCATTTATACATTGTCTATGACTGTCTCCCTGCTACAATGGTAGGGTTGAGTAGTTGTGACAGATATCAGATGGCCTGCAAAGTCTAAAATATTTACTATCCGGACCTTTACAGAAAGAGTCTTTAACGCTCACGCCAGCAGAACAGCCCTGGGAAGTCTGACTGGGTGTGGTTTGGCTCAGAGGCCCATTCTGGAGCCAATCCCCGAGGGTTCTCTGATGAGTCAGGTCCAGTCACCTGCTGAGGCCCGAGGCAGGCGGTCAGCCCCACCAGCATCACATGGACTGGGTTCCCTGCAGGACCAGGGAGCCCTGTCATCAGAAGGAATCAGTGTAGAACAAGAGAGGCACTCTAGAATAAAGGATGTGGAGGAAAGTTGCTAAGAGTATCAAGACTGACTGCTGAAGGCAGAGAAGGTCTGCTCAGCATCTGTTGCCTCCCTTGTCAAAGAAAGAAGTTGCAGAGGCTGTTCAGAAGGAAAGTTCAGGCCAGGTAGGGAGGTGATAATCTGCTTTCAGTGCATTTGTCTTCTGGCCCCTGGGATTGTCCTGGTGTGGGGTGAACTTGGAGATAAGATATCTGAGAAGCTGTCAGGGGTATTTCAGGACAACTGGGGTAGATGGCGGGGGTGGGGTCGTAGCCCTCCACGGGCTCCCACTGTGTATAGAATCCATCCTTAAGCAACCCCTGACCACCTCCCGTGCCCCATCTCCCGACAGCCACTCCCCAGAGGCCCTCTCTTCTCAGAGTATGCCATGGGGGCCCACTCCTCCAGGGAACTGCTTGACCCTCCATGCCCATAATACTTCATCATGTTTGTTGTGTGAGTGGATAAATGAATGCTGGTAGACTTGAGATGAGCAAATAACTGCTTTTACGGGGAAGAAGGCAGATTATGAGAACAACAGATTGGTGATCGAGTCCTTAATCCCTGACAAAATCCTGGAACCAGTTATTAATGGAGCACTTGAAGAGGAGTCCATTTTCTTCAGAGGAGCCTTTTTCTTCCTGGTTCTTCCCCACTTGACTGGTG